AACATGTGTAATGGTGCACTAATCTCTAATAAGATTCTGCTGGGGTAGATATTTGGACTGACGCCCACAGAATCTCTGGACAGCCACTCATAATTCACGTCTGGAGATAAGACCACAACTTCGGCCGACTTTAGCAAGAATTATTCACCTAGACCACACTTCCGTTCGCTCATTTGGTTGTTTATTTGACTCTCTGTCACTATTATTTCTACATAGGTAAAAGTCTAGGCAGGTAAATCCCAGCATAAAAATATTCACTGAAATCTCCATTCCAAACATGGCTCTCATGACGAAATTGTTAACCTTCATGCATAAAAGTCTTTCTTAAGTTTCTAGTCTGGAGATTAGGGGTGTACTAGCTTGGCAATGATTCCATAAATATTATACAAATTAACCTGTTGTGTCTATTGATGATAAAGGCCGACGAGAAACATATAGGAAAAATTTAAAGAAATTTTATAAGTGTGACTTCCTTTTCCCTTCCAAGAGAGAGAGAGAGAGAGAGAGAGAGAGAGAGAGAGAGAGAGAGAGAGAAAGGCGTGGGTCTTTATCAACGTAGGATAAACAACGCCAAGAAATGTTTTGCATTATTTTTTTCTAATTAATTATAATCCAGTTATATAAATACAGAAATTTAAGAAATATGTACTTGTCATGTATATACATTGTCAGCAGTTCTTTAGCTCGCGCCATGGTCTGAAAAAAACTGGAATGAACGACAAGCAATATTATTTTCAGACCAGCGAGCGATAAATCTGAATCTAAATAAATGTTGCTACGCTTTTCTGAAGCGTATGTAGTTCCGCTCTTCTTTTTCAATTTTGTTAAATAGATTGTACACCATCTTCGCTATCCAATTGCAAGGGTTTCTGATACGCTACTCTCCTCATGAACCCTTGGTACACGATGTTGATAGAACTTTTTTTCTCGAGTTCTGATTGGGACTAAGTGTATGCGGTCAACCAATCAGCAATTGTTTTTTTGCAAATGACAATATTTGCGTTCGGGAAACTTCTTGACTCTTTAATCTCAGAAATGAAAAACGCAAGTATACAACGCTCCTAATAGGTACTTGGACACAGATTTGAAGTTATTATTTTCTCTATAATATTACAACTTATATATTTTAATAGCATTTCACACAAAAATTAATTAAAAATCTAATTTCGTTTAAAAGATATTGAAAGAGCGATATATGGTAAGTGTCTCAATTGGCCCCTTAAAATGAATATCTTAATTGTACTTTATATATAGTTTTAATTTGTACAGCTATATATGCGACCTTTCTTGGCTATTTTCATTTTGATAAAAATGTCGTTATTTTAGAAATATGACATCATAAAAATAACATTTTCCCGCCATTTTAGCATATTTTGTATAAAACTGCTTATTTTCAAGCAGTTTTTCTTCCAGAAAATATAGAGCGCAGCCTAGAACAAGATTTAAATTTTTTACCAAAGATGTATCTATCCAATGCTAATTAGTGACAGAAAAATTACGTACGTTCTACACTGCGCTGTATGTTTTCCATAAGAAAAAACATCAAGAAAAAGGCATATTTTTGGCTTTTTTGTTAGATAGCAAAAATAGCATTAATTCTCATGTCATTTACAGGTAGTGAGTGCATATAAATGTGAAAAATATATTGGAAATATTTCTAATATAATCTCTTCTACAAAATAAATATCAATTAAACATATTTGAATGTGTTTCTAAAATATTGATTTTTTGGGGGCCAAAATTGGCTCTTATCATATATACTCCTTTCAAATTTTTCGGCGGTTTTGATTGACATAACCTTACACTCCCAATAATTTAATTTTATTCTTAATCCTTAGGAAAAGTGGCAATCTCGTTTTGTATAAATGAAAAATATTAATATTATAATCCAGAAAATTCAGAGTAGACACGTTCGAAAGCAAAACAAACACGCAATATATTGTCAGTCCGTGCAGTTGTGGTAAGCAGACTGTGACGATTGAACGCACCCGGTGAATTCTAAATATAAACAATAACAGAACTTGAGTCCTGTTTACAAAAACTGTGTACATAACACGAGTGTGCTCGATTTGCTAAACTCTGTACGCATCTCTAAGTTCGAAATGACGATACTTGTGAAGGTGTTTTGCTTTCTAACATTTCTACTCTGAATAAAATTATTTTTCTGCATAAATGTTTTAATATTTCTCATTGATACACAACAAGATTGCCACTTTTCCTACGGATTAAGAATAAGGTTAAAAATCGTGAAAGTGCAAGGATGTGTCAATCAAACCCGCCAAATAATTTGAAGTTTTAATAACTTTTCAATGAAATATGATTTTTAATTAATTTTTGTGTGAAATGCTATTAGAATATATAATTCGTGGTATTATACAGAAAAAATGAGAAAATATTAACTTCAAATCTGTGTCCAAGTACCTTTAAGATAACATGCAATAATATTGATAGCTATGATGTCATCCAATATCTTCTAAATATGTGCTTAAGAATCTATATTGAAGCTTCAGATCTGTACTATAAATAATAAATAAACATAACTCATTTATTGCTTCTTAATTATTCTTGAAAAAAAAAACAACAACTTTGATTTAAATTTTAAACATGTGTCTTTATTTCTATCGATGACGCAATCTGTGCGTACCTAATAGAATCGAGATCACGTGACGTAAACAATCCTGTCTTTTGCCAAGGGTTAATGCGGAGAGTAAACCCTTGGTTAGCGAAGATTATTGTACACAAGTAGCTCTGTTATATAACAGTTTATTACACAAAACAGATGAACTATCTCGGGGTGACCAGACGTGTTTTACAATGCTCCTCCTTATAAATAATTACCTGTGCTTGTGAATATGATTAATAATGGAGTCAATCAATTTGAATGAAAATACAAATTTATCTAAATCTATTCTGGATACCTTTGGACTTTCTTTTTCACAAGGAAATTCAAATTCTTTACTTAAGGATGAAGATCCATTCCTTGATGTTCATGTGCCAGATTTCATACAAGTAAGATTCAATAAGCAGTGACACTGAACTATGAGGAAGATAAATTCGACGACATTGTGACCATTCTTAACAATGATCTACTGTTTACCAAAGCTGGATTTAAAAATCCGACCTTTCGTCCTTTCAGTAAATAATCGTACTTGCCGGGGGAAATGATGCTGCCAACGACAGGGAATTGGAAACCAGTGAATGTCATCTCACTGAAATTGTGCTCGAAATCCTGAGGAGGTCTCCAAATACCGAAATATTCATATCGAAGATACCACCACGACGTGATGCTGATGTTACCCACATGAATGAAATGATAAGATTTGTCTGTTAGGAATATAGTGTCAACATAATCTCTCTACAAGATAAGTTAAAGTCATCAGGTATGTTCTGGAAAGATGGGATTCACATATCCGACAAGGGAACATCTACACTACTGAATTCCTAAAATGCGCACATTACGGTCATCAAAGCCCGCCGTCAGAATGGTACACAAAATGGAAATGTGAATGTGTGTTATTATTGCGGCGAAAATGGCCAGTCCTCACGGAATTGTAGGCATGGATGTAAACTTGATCGCTGGATCCGCAACTCTTCAGGACATAAGGCAAATCACTGTTCCTATTAGGAATTCGACAAAGAGGAAATTCCCGAAAAACCATTTTTCTTGAAATCAAGCTCCTTTAATGTTTTTTAGATAATCTTTGTGGTGAATGTGGTGAAATATCATGTAAATGCTCATATCTCTGTAACTCACACAATACTAATATATTACTTAGATCAAGTCAAGGTTTTAAATCCTATACACGTTAAAATAATGAAAAGGATGTAAATTGTTCTATAAAAAATGTATCTCCTAGGAAAATTCATAAATCTACATCCTAAACTACCAGTTCATCAAAGGGAACTTCTAACTTACTAAATCCTGAAATCAATGAGAAACCACAGAAGAAAAATTCAAGTTCATTTAATTTTGGACTCATAAAAAAAGGTCTTCGATTTGGGAATCTAAATATATGTCACATCTTGCTTAAAATTGACCAGCTTAAGCTTCTTTTATCAGGCTATCATTCTATTGATGTATTCGTTATCTGTGAAACTATTTTGAATGAACAGACAGACACTTGTGAATAAGATATTGATGGATTTAATTTTGAGAGAAGAGATAGATTAGGGAAATCAGGAGGAGGAATAATTGTATATATCTCAAATAATTTGTATTACAAACGTCGCAATGATTTTGAAATAGGTGACATAGAAACAATATGGCTTGAAATTAACATCCCAAATTCAAAACCAATTTTTTATTGTACCGCATATAGGCCCACGTCTGTTACCACCTGCTGGGTAGAAAGTCTGACACGGGAGATAAATTGTGCATCCCGCTGTGACGATGCTAAAGTTATTTTAACAGGTGATTTTAATATTGATCTGATGAAAGACCCCCCAAGATACTGGACCTCTGCTTTTGAAGAATATGACTTTTCACAGATAATTAATGTGCCCACGAGAATAACAAATGTCTCTTCAACCCTAATTGATCATGTATATACTAACCTATCTGAGAACATATGTGAATCTGTAGTACCGCCAATTGCAATCTCTGACCACTATCTTATTTGTTTTACAAGAAAATTACATGATTATGTTAAGAAGTAGAAACACGCGGAGATAACATATAGAGACGTCAAGAAGTTTAATGAAATAAACTTTCTCTCAGACCTGGAAAAAAGTTAATTTTCAATCCTTGGATTCACTCTCTAATCCAAATGATGCCTTAAATAATTTTTTTTTCACTTTTTAATGCTGTACTAGACAAACATGCAAAAATAAAATCTAAAAAAGTGAAGTATGATGCAAGACCAAAATCGTTAACACAAGAAACCTGTACGAAATGTTACGCCTGGAAATGGGGCGTAAAGGAGGAGGAATTTCTGAGAAATTCCGGGCGTCATTTCTTGGCAATGCATATAAGGCAATGCATAAGTTCCGGGCGTAACTTAGACGTAATCCAAGAGGAAATGGGCAGGAATTTGAGGCGAAAAATGTAAATTTGCGACGCCTCTGGAGGCGTAATATGCAAATTAGTGACGCCTCCATGAAAGTATGATTCAAAGCAAAAAATTTTACGTCTGTATTCCGCCTCTATTTACGCCTTACATTTACGCCTGGATTTCACTACAAATTTACGCCTACTTCACGTCTAAATTCCGCCTTATTTTTATGCCTGGTATAAAGTTCATTTTAACACCTGAATTTCTGCAAACTTTCATCCCTAGAGAATCACACAAGATCAATCATATTTAAAAAACAATACAGTAAACAGCAGATTAAGTTTCTACATTTGTATTGAAAAGTAAAAGTTTCCTTCTTACATTTTAACATTCAATTCAGAATCACATTTAAGTTTCAACATATGTGTTAAAATGTGAAAATTTCTCTCCTACATTTAAACATTCAAGTCAGATTCCCATTTAAGTTAACCATTCAAAGAGTCACATTCAAGTTACAACATTTGTATTAAAATGTGGAAATTTTCATTATACATTTAAACATTGAAGTCGGAGTCACACTTAAAATTCCTCATTTGCATTGAAAAGTTGAAATTTTCTCCATACATGTTCATGCATTTAAACGTTTGTCACATTTATTTTGTTTTTGGCCTTAGCTGTTTCCTTGCATAACTGATCCTTTCTGTTATGGCGTCCTTCAGTGTTGCTTCTGATGGTACAATGAAGCCATTTTTCTTGCACCATAGAAAAACATAATCTGAAAAAGAAGGATCAGTTTAAAATTACTTAACTTAAAGGATCAATTTGTCTTTTAATATTAGATACTCTAAAATGCTTTTGTAAATTTTGCAATAGCATATTTTTAACAATTGGAGAAAGAATGTTTTCCTTACTTTTAAGATCACTGATTGTGTTGGGATCAAGGACAGCCTTGGGTCTACTTTGGTGTTTTTTCCGATCCCCTGGCCACGAGAACTGGCCAGAGTCTGCAAAGAAAAAATCTCTGCCAGGAGTTTGTAACATAAAGTGTATCTTGGCCTCTTTGACTTTCTTGCAGTTGATGTAGCCATCCTCATGCCGTCTGGGTCAACTTCTGTGTTTTTTTCCCTCAATAAGCTTGATCTGGAAAAATAATTTAAATTATTTATTTAGATATCGTAAAAACTCTGTAAATATAGTTGCATTCAATGAAAAGTTTGGTTATTAAAACATGCACAAAATAGATATTCTGAATGTTGGAAACATATAAAAAAGTAATTCAATAAACAAACAACTAAATAGAGATGAAAATATTTCAAAATCATACAAATATGTGAAAAGTTTAAACTTTAATGTCCAAGTGCAGTCTTATAAACAGTAACTTTAAAACTACCAAATGTTTCAAGGCTACAAGATTCTTATAAAAAGTACCTTTTCCTTTTGTCCATCCTTGTGTTTCCTGGGTAAACGCCTCAGTGCTGGTGGTGGTGGTGATGGCATTTGAAGGGTCTCATTATGATTTTCAGTGGATGGCACTGACAGAGGTGATGATGGTAAGGGTGAGGGTGATAGTGGTGGAAGTGGTGGAGGTGCTGGCAATGGTGATGGTGGTGCAGGCAGGGTTGATGGTGGTGCTAGCAGGGTTGATGGTGGTGCAGGCAGGGTTGATGGTGGTGCAGGCAGGGTTGATGGTGAATCTGTAAAGGTTTCATGTGTCATAGTGTGTGAAAGGTTTCTGTATATCTGTCCATGATCTGCAGCAGCTAGTGTTGATGTGGGCATAGAAGGTAAAAAATCCAAGTTTTGTCGATATTCAGCTGTAAAGTCGTGTTGAACACTTGAAGTTTGATGAGCATCACTCCAATTGACTAGCTTGTCTTGAGGCCTTGTTTGAAAGTCTCCACATGGGGCCTATTTCAAAAAAATTAAACATATGATTTGTAATCACTGTAAATTGAACTTTTTTGAGGTTGTTTTATAAAAAAATCATTTAAAGCCCTAAGAATTAGGTATAGTACAGTGACTTCACTGACTTGAGTCCTCCTGGTTATTAACTGAAGTACTGCTCCTACTTACCTTTGCTTTACAGAGCTCTATATGGTGCAGGAGCATCCTCAAATAGTTTTGCACATCAGGTCTTACTATTCCTTCCAAAACCCTAATTATCTAATCTGAAGGAACTGAAAAGGAATTTTAAAACATTGAAAAGACTTGTACAAAATTATTATGCTTCTTTCAGTTATAGTTGCTTAGAATTTTTTTTTTCTTTTTGTTTATTCTTATCTTAATTATCAAGGATTAAAATGCATTGGTATACATGTATTGATATATTACCAGGTATTTCAGGAAAAGTCCTCTGAAAATTTGTAGGTGATGTCGACCCTTGTACATTTTGAATGGAATTCATTGCATCGCTACACATTTCCCATGTTTGCCGAAATGGTATGTCACTTGTCGGTTGTGTAGTCTTCATAGGTTCTAGAGGCTGTATATATGTTGAGGCTGGCAGGATTGATTGTGTTGGAGTTTCTTTACATTGCTGGAGTTGGGATGTTGGAACCTGGTTTTTGTCCAGTGGTTGAGTGAACGATGACACTGTTTCCTGGGTATGATCAACTGGTGCTAGGGGTGGTGCTGTTGAATGTGAACTTGTAAATTGGAAAGCCAAGGAACATTCCGACTAAAGGGATTTCAGCTTCTCAGGTATAACCTCAACTTTCTTTGCTTTCATCTTTTTTGGTACCTTTTTCTTTCTTCTCATTCTCCTCCAATCCTTTATCTGTTTCTCTGCCATTCTGCTCAGACTCTGTGCTTTCCTTTCTTGTTTTTTTGCCTGAATTTGTGTTGGGGTTAGAACTTTCCTCCTGCTCTTCAGATTCTTTCAGCCTCTGGTTTTTTTTTTGTCTGTTCCTCTTCACATCATGCTTGGCACTGCTGGTGGATACCTCGAAGGTGAAAAGTTCCTCTGGGACAGAACTTACATCTTTGGCCTTTTTCAGAAACTTGGCATGTGCCTGGGTGGCAAACACATTCAAAGTATCTTCATCTGAAAGGGTAAATCAACTGATTATGTACACAGTGTGTAAGTTTTATGTGAAGTTGACTTCAATTTAGAAAGAAGTATTCTTAAATTTCATTATTATTACCAAAATGTAAGAAAAGTTGGGCAAATTATTCTGTCATATATTATATTTTTTTTTCAATATATACGGAGGGTACGTACTACTTAACAGAGTGCGCTAGAGTACTACTGGATAGAGTACTTTAGAATACACTTGAAAAATTATGTTATATTTAATGCAATTAAATTTTTATTTATGTATGTACAACTTGAATCAACATTATTATAAACTTATATTGCAATATTTGGTTCAAATATTTTGTTTTTAGCAATATTTTGACAAGAAAATAGCATCCATAATTCAACACATTAAAGATTACTAATACCCAATTCTTGATTACTATTTTGTTTCAGACTTTCTTAATTCTTACTAAAAACTACATGTAGCATTTAAATTTTATCAAATATTAAATTATATTTTTCACACTCACAATGAGACATTGCAACATGTTCAAGTTAAATTAGATTGGGATCAAACGATAAACCATAACCTTAAATTGAAATAACTCCTTAAATAAAGTAAACATACAAATTTTATTTAAAATATTATATTCAATATGTTAAACCAAAGAAGAGTATTATGTAGATAGTGTTCTTTTGTTAAAATGATATATGTTCTACGGTCGTACCCTATTTAATGAAAAAAAAATATTATTGATTAAAAGTTCCAAGTGACTCACTAGTACTATATTTTCTTCAAGTGGTTGAATAGGAAGATGCCAGTATACCCATGCTGATACCCACGTAGGGCCTCACTGCACTTGCACCGATTTAACGATTTCATTTATGATTACGCCTAGAATTTCATTATCATTCCTTACCTCGTTCACCTGATGTTACACAAGATACATAATTAATGAATAGTCCATTAATATCTTGGTCATTTTTCATGTATGTTAACGAAACAACTTGAATTATTGTAAACCATGTTTACATATATTTGTCCGCCATCTTTGACCTTGATCGATTTTATTTTGGGACAGCCAATGAGAATTCGAGAACAAAGGGGTGGATTTTGTGAAGAAATAGAGGCGTAGAACCATTTCGGTGCAAATAATTTAAACTAAACATTAAATTGTTTTAATTATAAGATCAGTTAAATTAAGTTATGATGCAGCGAGGTGGAGATGGGGAGGGGCAAAGTATGCCAAGCATGCCCAATCGGCACGTTTAGAAGTTGGTTTAAAGTTAAATCTCCCAAATTTTGATTTTCCCTAAAAAAAAAGTACGGAAATAATAATAGGAGTGTTATTTCTGCAAGTGAGATACTATAACTATAGTACCCCCCCCCCGAACGAGTTTATAAAGTAAACAGAGGCGCACGTTTATATTCCGCACACCTAGAACAAAGGGCGCATGGCGCGCCAGTTCCTGTCACGTGATTCAGAAATTCAAAAAATTTTCCCCATCAAGTTATAGGTCTATTCTCCAATTAAAATTTTAACTGATAAAAAATTCTATCTTTTTTATATTTTTTTCATTTTTAAAAAGTAGTTTAAATTTCAAAAAATTGATTGTAACATGATTTATAAGACTTACCACCGATTTTAACAATTGTGCCATGAAACAGAATCCGCTGCCCCGCGCTTTTCCCTGGCCAGAACATCTCTACTTTTCCCCTTGGCTCCCACTCGTCATTGATAACTTTCAAACTTTTGTTGTTTTTTCCAACTACACTCAAGCTTGCATCTTCTGTGAAAAAAATACAGGCGTACATATCCATGATTTCGAAGTGGTCAGCAGCTTCTGAGTATCTTGCAAGTATGGACGGTGTGGCTAAACTGATAACGATGCTCGGAAACTGACCATTGTGGTATCAAATAACACGCCGCATCCCTGGTGTGCAAGAGGCTCATTTAGGATTCATATTGGGGAATTTATTTCCATACAAGATAAAGAGCACTGGAAATTGTTTTACGATTTCCCAAACTGATCCCCAGTCAACATAGTCAACAGGGGGTCAACGCAGATCTTGTGAACTCTGGCAGGAGTTTTTTTTCGCAATGGGGCCGAAAAAAAATCAGAAGCGGAGAGGACCATATAAACGTTGGGAAAGCGAACCGGTTGAAAAAGAGCCTTTTGTAGCGTCAAATCCACTGAGTGATGAAGGAAATACATGTATAAATCTCATAACGTCTGTTGAAACTCATGCTGAAGATACGCATCATTACTCAACGGGTGTCTTAGAATGTGACCAATATAACCCACAACCGATATCAACAGCTTCAAAAACTCAGGTACATTTTATAATAATTTACAAAATGATTGGGAAAAAAAAAAAGCGATATGAAAAAAATCCGGATCTTCAGACGTATTTTTTTTGGATGTTAGAATTCTACTTCCTGTTTAGTTCGAATTTTTACTGTTTACTACTGATCCATGCATATCACAGACGTATACCATGGTATACGACTTATATTTAGTAAGTATTAATATTATCGTGTATGGCTGTGCAATGCATTATGTACAAAAATCAGAATTAGGTGAGCGTAATTAAAAAAAAAGAGAATGCAAAGTTTTATGTTGTGCAAAAATAACATAATGCATGAAAATATTTAAATCCTAAATCTAATGAAATGTATTTCAAATTAAATTGTTGCTAAATCTTAGCCAACATGTTGCAATACCCCGAATAAGATAATCTCTTACGTGGATCATAATCATGATAATATTCTTTCAAGAATGTTGTAAAGTAATAAAATTCGAATTTCCTCCGTATTTACATATTGCCAAAATGCATCGCTGGACTTGCTTTTAGGATATTTTTACTTACTAGGAATTATATATTTTTGTTTCTGTTTTTATAGGAAGATTTTAAGGAGCCTGATGTCATAGTAAACAGCAATGAAGAGGTAGTGGAAACGGAAAAACTTGAACAAGGTTCAAATATAGTGTTTGAACATGAAATCCTTCCAGAAATTGAGGACAATGAAGAAAACTTTGAAGATGCTGTTGATGACTTCTGGGAGGAAGAATTTTGGAACTGTACAGATTTAATGGCTAATTCTGATGCTGAACTTTAATTTGATGAAAGTTTTCAAGAGAAGGAGTACATTGAAAATGAAACAGATGATGACCAGCTTCTTTATCCAGATGCCTCTATCACACTTGGAACATTTATGCTCTTGTTTTCATCATTCTGCATGAAACACAACATCAGTAGTGACGGCATTTTGCAGTTACTGAACATTTTCTCATATGTTTTACCCAATGGCCATACACTTTGCACAAGTCTACATGACTACAAAAAGTTTTTCAAGAATTTAAAAAACCCACTAATTAAGCATTTTTATTGTCCACATTGTAATGGATACTTAAAGTCTAGCACCGAGATAAAATGCCCATATAGTGGATGTGGTAAAAATTAAAATGAAAGTGAATTTGAGTATTTTTTGGAAATGCCTGTTGACAGCCAAGTGAAAAACTTGTTTTCTCAGAAAGGATTCTATGAGAAACTTGAACATAGGTTTCAAAGGCAAAATATTCAAGGGAGATATGAGGATATATATGATGGACAGCTCTACAAATCATACTGTGAAAACGATGGACCATTATCAAAACAGGAAAATATTTCATTCACCTTTAACACTGATGGTGCACCAGTATTTAAAAGTAGTAAGGTTTCTGTGTGGCCATTATTTTTGGTGATAAATGAACTGCCCTTCAAATTGCGGATGTTTAAAGAAAACATGTTAATGGCAGGACTCTGGTTTGGTCGAAATAAACCAGTCATGGGGACTTATTTATCACCATTCTTGGATTGTTTTAAGAAGCTTCATGAAGGAATTCAATGTTTTTCTCCATTTCGAGGAAATTTTACTTGCAGTGGATATCTCTTATGCGGTACAGCTGATCTTCCTGCTCGTAGCTTGGTGTGCAATGGTGTACAGTATAATGGATCATACTCCTGTTGGAAATGCTTGCAAAAGGGCGAAACTTCAAAGCGTGGTAAAGGACACACACATGTGTTTCCATATCAACCAGAGCACCCAAAAGGTCCTGAAAGAACAGTTAATGATGTCCATCGTGATGCACAGCAAGCCATGGACAATTTAGAACACAGAAGAACTGGTTTCAGTGTAAATGGAGTGAAAGGACCTTCTTGGGTTACATTTTTCCCCAGATTCAATATTGTTTGCGGAATAGCTATTGATTACATGCATGGGGTTCTTTTGGGTGTGCAAAAATTGTTGTTGCGTCTTTGGTTTTCATCTGAATTTAAATCAAAAAACTTTAGTTTTCATGAACATGTCCAAGAAGTTGATAACAGATTGAGAAACTTAAAACCAACTTTAGATATATCTAGATTACCTCGTTCCATTGAAAATGATTTAAAATACTGGAAAGCTTCTGAATATCGTTCATTTCTGTTGTACTTTGGAGCACCTGTTTTATTTGGCATTTTAGACAACCTAAGATTTAGTCATTTTTTAAACTTTGTAAATGGTATTCATATTCTTTTAAAACAAGGTAGTACTGAAGAAGAAGTATCAGAGGCTGAAGCATTGCTTTTCAATTTTTGTGCAGATTTTGAATATTTATATGAAAAATGTTTTATGACGCTTAACATTCATCAACTTGTACATTTAGCAGATAGTGTGCGTGTTTTAGGACCTCTGTACACCCATAGTTGTTTTTCTTTCGAAGACAAAAATGGTTTTCTTTTAAAGATGATACAAGGCACACAAAACATTGACAGTCAAATTGTCACAGGTATATCTTTTGTACAAAAACTCCCTGAGTTAAAGCAGAAATTTGTAGAAAGTACTGTTGAAGGATCAAAACTAGAGAAATTGTTCAATTCCATTGAATCTCCTAATTTGTTAATAAGAGGAGAAATGATAGAAAAAGGAGTGTATGTATTAGGTGGAATTAAGTTAAGAGTTTTGGTTGAGAATGAGTACAAAAAGCTTTGTGATTTTCTTGGCTATGCTCCAGTTAATGAGAAGTTTAGAACATTTAAAAGAATAGATTTTTTCAATCATATTGTATATGGTTTACAAAACGAAAGAATGATAAAACGTGATAATTCTACTGTGATGTATAAGGATGGGAGTTATTTTTGCTTTGGTCGTGTAAGATTTTTTCTCTTTACTATTGTTCATGATCAGACCACAGTTCTGGCTTTTATGGAGAAACTTGAATCTGTACATTATTCTGAGAACTCCCATGTGCTGAAAGTTACAAAAACTGATGATTGTATTTTTGTTCCCATTAAAAAAATTAAGGAAGGGTGCTTGTTTCTGGAAATTTAAACTGATGGCGATGACAATGATTTGAACACATTTTATGTATGTCGGTTTCCTAACAAACTAGAAGGTGACTGAAATGACTTTCAAAAATGATTATAATGATGTTATTGGTTAAATGAATAGAAAACTTTTTCTTTTGTAATAGTATGATCAACATTTTTCATGTTTGCTGGAAATAAAACACTATAATAGTGTATATACATGTATACATATTGATATTATTTTTGCTAGCATTAAGTGAATGCATTGTTAAGTCATATTTGTGTCTGAAAAAATTTCTAAGTTCATTCACGCCTAGGTATTCCTGCTGGTAAAATTTCTAAGTTCAGTTACGCCTACGAATTCCTGCTGGTAAAATTTCTAAGTTCAGTTACGCCTAGGAATTCCTGCTGGTAAAATTTCTAAGTTCCAAAATTCCCTCTCTGCTCTGAAAGTATAAAGTCTAAGTCCAAAAATTCCTGCTAAATTCCAGGCGTAAAAAATGAGGCGTCAAATTGTGTAAAATTCCTGCAAGATTCCAAGCGGAATTGTTGATTTTCCAGGCGTAACTTTAGAGGCGTAATTGAAAATATTCCGCCTCTTGCTCAATTACGCCTGGAAAATACACATTACGCCTAGAATCCGTCTCATTTCCAGGCGGAATCCGCCTCAAATTTTCATACAGGTATTCTTGAAGCACAGCACAAGCGCAATAACTTTCATAAAAATAAGGACTTTGAAAACTACAGATTATGGCGAAATAAAGCAACATCACTAATTGAAAATGCAAAAGTTAATTATTATAAATCAACTTTGAAGCAAAACAAAAATTCACGCCAGATGTGGGATGCATTAAACAAATTAGCTTTTACTACCAAAAATTATAGTCCGACGGCACTTGAACAAATAATAATGTAACAGAGGAAACACAAGAAATTGCAGAGATATTTAATTACAATGCTATAATTTTGATGAAATAACTGCATTTGTTTCGATCATATTCAAGTGACAAATTTCAAAGTGTCCATCTGTCTAACAAAGAATCGTCTTATCAGCAAGTCACAGCAGGAGTTCCACAGGGGTCTATACTTGGTCCTCTTCTGTTTTGATTGTACATCCATTTTATATAAAAAATTTAAACATAGATTTGTTTGCCGATGATGCTACTTTACATGCTTCCGGCAAAGATTCCAAATCTTTAGTAAATTCATTATCAGTGGATATTGCTTGTATAGAAAAATGGTGTACTCAAATGATACTTAATGCCTCAAAAACTAAATGTATGTTAATAGGTACACATCAGAAGAGATCAAAATTCTTAAACCATGATTTTCCTTTATACGTTTCGAACCAGAAATTAGACAATGTATCATATGAAAAAATTCTTGGGTATATTTAGGTAATTCTTTACAATACAATGTACATATCGACCATGTGTTTAAAACTCTGTCACGTAAAATTTCTGGACTCCGTAGAATTAAAAAAATATCTGCCTCTTGAAACACGTCAATTGTTTTATAATGCATACATCATGCCTACCACTGATTATTGCCTAACAATTTGGGGAAATACGTCCAGATCAAATATTGACAGAGTTCATAAACATCAAAAACGTGCTGCAAGGTATATTTTTGATGCTCCCCCTGATGCACCCTCAAGACCCCTTTTTGATAAACTTGATTGGCTTACTGTTTATAAACAGCTTACTGTAAATAAATACGAGGGTTGTCCAAAAAGTTCGTGGACAATGACAGTTTTGTTATAATGAATGGTTCTATATGCATCTATTGTATATCAAAATATTTCTCATGAAAAAATAAGTCAGAATGATTTATTTCTTTATTGATGAATCTCAATATTTTTCTAAAAATCGGAGTCTTCAGAGATCGCAGATTGTGTACACGGACCAGTCTGACGTTACGCTAATTTCATTATAAACGTCAAACATTTGTATTTTGACTTGGCACATGTTCATGAACACACACTACATTTCTTTTTTTATGGCGCAACGCACTTCGAAGTGCTAGCAATAATCTTTATGTATACATTATAATTTATATAATTTTTAAAATTCAAAACAATGCACAAAAATTTACGAGCGTTATCTAAATAAACAGTTTGTATACTCAAACTGCACAGCCCATTCCAACGCTGCGCTAGATTTATGACAACGTCATGAATAGAAATCTCCATTTTCAGCAAATTACAGGTGTTTTTAAATTCTTGTAGTGTCTTCGTTTTTCTACACACCGTTGAAAAATCGTATATACAAATCGATGCACTAAATATATTTCAATAATTGTGAGTTGTTTTAACAAATATTTTGTCTCTTACGCCGTTTCAACCGTTATAAAACATATTTGTTTTAATCGGACGCTGCCCCGTGCGGACGGCCGACGTCGCTTTTTCTGTTGAGTTTTGACACGTACTTGTTAGGGTTTTCTTTTAGTATTTTCGTTGTCTATATAGTAAGCGATACTTAAGATATCATAAAATGATTATAGCCTCTTTATTTGTGTTACATAAAATTTTATTAATTTTTGACTTGTTTTATACAAAAAATAATCATTTTAATCCCAACACTTTATATCAGAATTTATACCATTTTAACCTTGGTCCGTGCACACTATCTGCGACCTTCAAAGACCCCGATATTTACAAAAATATTACGTTCCATCAATAGAAATTAAATCATTCATATCTTCTTATCTCTTTATAATTTGTTAAGACATATTGAACAAAAGTTGTGCAGAATTACAAGAACTATTACATGATATGAAGAAAATGGGGCTGACTCATCAAATTAGGGACGCAGAGGGGCCAGAGGTCTTTTATCTTTAGCTCTTTAATGATCAATATTTTGTGATACATTACAAAGCAAAGTTGTTCATATTAACAATTTGCAACAATATATTATAATATTTTGGTCATATGTTACGTAATTAGGGGTCACGAGGGAGCAGAATGCTAATTCTTTGACGCTTCATATCTCGAAAAGGGGGAAAATTTTGATAAGCAATATTGAACAAATGGTATAATAAAATAAATGAACATGGTCAGAATAATGATCCAAACAATATGCATACTTTGAATTTTTATAAAATGGCCCCATAAAGAACTTGTAGATATGGCCCCTAAATATCTATATGAAGCACTCCTAAACGAAAAGAAATCTCTGAATAGTTGTAGAACAAAAAGTCTTTGAAATCACAAGACTTTTCGTTTGATATCAAGAAAATTGGGCTGACCCCTCAAATTAGGGGCTCAAATGGGCCAAAAGTCTTTTATCTATAACTCTCTAATAATCAATATTCTGTTATACATTACTGAAGCAAAAGTATTTATCTTAAAGATTTGCAACAATATATGATACACTTTTGTTCATATGTTATGTAATTAGGGGTCACAAGGGGCCAGAATGTCAAATCTTTGATGCTTTATATCTCGAAAAGGGAGATTATTTTGATAAGCAATATTGAACAAAAGATGGCAAGAATAATGTTCTCAGCAATATGCATACTTTGAATTTTTGTAAAACGGCCCCGTTGAGGACTTGTAGGAGTGACCCTAAAATATTTTTATTTAGCCTATCTCGACAACGAATAGAAATCTCTGTATAAGTGTTGAACAAAAATCTTCAAAATCACAAGACCTTTCATTTGATATCAAGAAAAAAGGGCTGACTACCTAGATTAGGGACTTAGAGGGGTCAAAAGTATTTTATCTTCAACTCTTTCATGATCAATGTTTTTTTTATAAGTATCCATTATGAGAAGCAAAGATATTCATCTTAATGATTTGCAACAATACATTATAAAGTTTTGATCATATGTTACGTAATAAGTGGTTGCAAGGGGCCAAAATGCTATATCTTTGATGCTTTATATCTCGAAAAGAGGGAGTATTTTTATAAGCCATATTGAACAAAACATGTTCAGAATATCGTGATAAAAATCAAAAACTTAAAAAGAAATGAAGGAAAACTTAATGTCATTCTCTTTTAACGAATATCGCAGTCAAAATCACATCTCATCTTATCAAAAAATTCAACGGAAGACCTACTCGTTGCTCGCAACGAGATCTCATCTAGTTATTATTATTATTATTGATTAATGGAAATCGATGATAATGCGGAACAAATTAAATTGAATTTGAAAAAAATAATGCATTTTTCTATTAAAAAAAAGGGGGACACACCCAGAAAAGAAGATACTGGCTCAGAAATGATTTTGATAAGCAAGACTAATTTTTTTTTAAAAAGCGGTAACAGCCTGAGTCTCCAAATATGATTTAAAAAAACAATTGTAGAAAACCTGTATCCATATATATGGCTTTCTGTTTTATTGCCAGGGTTTGTTGGGTTTTTTTTTGTGTGTATGTGTGGCATGGAGGGGGGCATTAACTATCTGCTTTTAAGAACTCAAGGGGAAACTTACTTCCAGAGACGCCTTCCTCTACATCCGTTCATAAATATATTGGAACTTTCTGTACTGTTTATATTACAAAAAAGAAAAAAAAAAGACGTCCTCGACGCGATTTGCTCTGGTTCGTTCAAAGATTTAAGGAGAGTATAGGAGCTGTAGAATGTAAATATAAGAATTTGATGCTGATAAGGCAAGAGTCTGAGGTACGTTTCTTTTCCCTATCACAGAGATACCAACTGAGCTGATATGGAACGTCGAGAAAATGACAGCATGATCAGCGATTTTTTTAAAATTCACACTCGTGATCCGACAGTGACATAAACATAATATTCCCGCCTCTCAGTCCTGTTTGTCACCAGTTTTATTTTATTTAATTAAATTTGAGGTTTCTGTATTCAATATTTAGCTAAAAAGATCAGAAATAACTGCTTTCATTGTTTATACGATAGCCCAAAAGCTTCGTCAAGAAAGTAGTTCTGATTAAAAAAATTCATCGATGTGTAAACTTTTTCTAAAACGTATTCTCGTCCAATCAAAACATAGGTAATAAATAAATAAAATGAAGATTGGAATCATAAGAAAATAAAATCCGCGGACAATCTGTATTGTACGTAATAACTCTCCTCATGCCCCTGTGCTGAAAAAAATATACCAAACTACTTTTAATTATAGTAATATTTTTTGAAATGGGGCGTGTTACTTTGAGAGGCGATATGGACAGATACACAATGTCATTGCTCAAGCTCAAAAGCTTCTTGAGATATCGTCCGGAAAGGAGAGTGTTACACAGAGACAGAATGTATAGATTTACGACCTGGAACCTTGACCTTTTAATCTCAATATGGGTCTTCTTAGGCCACAATGAGTTTTTATGTTAGGTTTCATGGTAAATGCTCAAAGGGTTGTTGAGATTTTGAGCGGAAAAGAAACAGACAGAATTTATTCAATATGGATATATTATGTGACATTTGACATTTTGACTTCAGAACTATATACTTCTATTCTTGGCAATAGAGTATGCCGTATTTCATTGCGAAGTTCAAAATGTTCTTGATGTATCGCGCGAAAACGAAAATGTTACAGACAGACAGAAATTCAGACGAGCGGATGGACAGCTAGACGGACATCGGACAGACAAATTAAAATTAATATCCTCCACTTTCATTGGGGGCAGGGGACAAAAACGGAATCCTACTGTATTGTGTTGCATAGTGAGGAACAATTAGCTTTATATGAGATAGACTTTTGAGCTATGTTTT